TTTATAAAAAATACTGTTTTAGATTTGTAAATTTCTCAAGGCAGAATGAATAGCTCTGAGTCTTCTTTCTACCAACATGCTACAGTTATTTTGACCACATTTCTCCTTCACTGTCTTTTGTAGCTAAGGTAAAATCACATCAACATACAGCAGTGCTTCTTAAAGTGTGGTCCCCATTTTAGCAGCATCAGCTCACCTGGGAATATGTCAGAAATGCATATATTTGATCCTCTCCTCACCACCCCAGACCTACAGACCATAAACTCGGGAGGTGGGGCCAGCAATCTGTGTGTTAACAAACCCTCTGGGTCATTCTTAATCACACCAAAATTTGAAAACCACTGGCCTGGAGTCACGGAGAAAAATGTTTGTCTGTAAATAGGGTAGTCATCTCAGTTTATTCTGCTGGGGATAAGGAAAAGAGGAGGAAACTTGGTAATGAAATATGAAAATAAGTGGAGTGATATAGGAAGAGTAAGAGGGTAAAAAGAGTTACAAGAAACAATAAACTTTTCACTAATATTGACAAGACTTTTTTCCAAATCAATTCAACATGACCAGTTGATTTTGGTTCATGAAAATGAAATTGTAGATCCATGGTAAATAGTAATTTGTCTCCTCTCTCCCCTTAAGGGTTAAATTGGGATGATCCATCTATATTCTCATCATCTGATCTCTTTTCAAAATTACTGACATTTGTTTAAAATAGTTGGTTGAGATGAGAGGTTCAATCTGTAGACTATACTAAAGATCAAATAAGTTGTATTTATTAGTACTGAATTTCAACGAACTAGATGAACCCTTACATAAGGAGTGTCTCCTGGTGGCACCTGCCCCATACACAGGGATTAGTTTTGGATAAAATAACTCCTAGTAATCTGAGGCAGATTTACCAGTGGTGTTCGAAGGTAGATTGTGCTTTATTAGTCAGAGGCTTACATTTTGGAGTACGTCCTCAAGATAGTTTGGCCTAATTGAATGAGTACAATCTTTGGCTTGGTGTCAATTTGGGTTCAAATATATTAGTTCTGAAATACTCAACCAGTTTTGGAAATCTCTGGAAAATCATATTAAAATGGGTTGGTAATAGGGTTGCTATAAGGATTAGACGAGTTACAAGGGGTTCAGCAATGCCTAATATATGATAGGTTTCAGTAAGTAATAGTTGTTAGTAATAATAAATCTTGATCGACTCTTCCTTTGTTACCACCTTCTCTTTAAAAACGGTCATGGTGCAATTTTCCTAGAGGCTAAACTCATTTCTGAAATTACCTGTCAATTATGCTAGTCAAATTATTTCCTGGAGATCCATTGTGTACTGAAAAGTTGGATTAACTGAACTTTCAGCCCCTATCTTCGCAAGTGAAATATTTCTATTCTACCACATTCCGAAACTGCTGTATAGAAATGTGGTAGGAGTGTTGAGATTGAGTGAAGTAGTAGCCCTTCTTTCTTCATCTATAGATCTAGTTCATAGGCGATTCCTTTAGCCTTTCTCTATTGTGTTTCAATTGTCACCTAAACAAATAAATAGGATGGAGTGGGGCCATGGGGGTAGTGGGAGAAATTAGTGTTCTAACCCGCTTCTAACAGGGTACAGTGCATGAGAGGGGGAAAAAGAAGGGAAGAAAATTATGAGTGATGGAATTTTAGAACTCAATTTTTCTATATGACTATAGCATGGTTTACCCTTTCTGGAGAAGAGCAAAAGATAAAATTCCATAATAAATTCAACTGAACTTTCAAACTATTTTATCCAATTGAGATTCTAGACTCTCAATCATTGGTATAAATCACACTGCTCGTCTGAAAAACCGAGAAATAAAATACAGCAGCTTCTGAAGCAAATTAGCAAATGATAAGGGTTTTTTTTTTTTTTTGTATCTAGGTGTCTTGTACACATCCTTATCCTTACTTCTAAATTATTATCTTATGGTTCTGCTGTTTTATTTGCTGGGTAGTTTTGGCACTTACGTGTGTTCTTTTGGTAAAGTTGCTGAGAATGTTTGAAATGAAAAGCTAAGGACAATTTCTACAAAATGACAAGGGCAAGTAACGGCCCAACTAAACTATTCTCTCATATCCCACTTAGATTTCAAGCAACACTGAAGAAGAAACAACCAAGAACCTAAAATGTATCTGTTATTTTAAGAAGAGGGAGGAGAAAAACATTACAACAGCCAATTCACTGGATAGAATTGGTGGAGAACTGACCAACCAGACTGCTATTGTGAACCACCACCAGGCTAAAAGCTGTTTTAGTATATGGAGTATGTCTGCAATGGAATTTTATGTGCACAGATATTTTTGAAATTAATAAAATACACATTTCAAAATACACTTTGGTTACTCTGAAGCACTGTCTTTGATAAACAAACGGGCACGAAAAAGAGAGGTCTAGGGGGAGAGGTCTCTCTTTTCCCTGTGCTCTATTGAGAGTGGTAGTAGCACACTGGTCCACTGGAGGATTGGGGCACTTAAATAAATGCATCTGGGACAAAAATCCTTGTGTGTTCTTCTCTTCCCCTTCAATCATCAACCTTGGTAGTTTCTCAAGGCTAAAAACAAAACAAACAAACTCATTATGATGTTTTATCTTTGCACAGCCTAGTAGTTACATATCCTCTAAAGTAGAACCCTACTGTTCACAGTTCAGTGCCCTTCCTGATTTCCTTTGTTAAACATCATTACTTGTAACATACTATGTTCAACAGACCAAGGAAATAGAGGTCAAGGGTAGTACTTCATTCTCAGGGGTCCCTGCAGTAATAGTAGCAGTGTATTATTTAGCAATGTAATTTAAGATTATTTCAGGTACGATGACATTTCAGGAAATGATGTTATTTTTAAAATTCTTTTGCCATGCACAATATAAGAAGTGACCACAGAATGTGTAGAAACAAGTGATGCTTCCAAGGATAAGACCTCATATAGGTAATAAAAATATTTCTATAAAATTTAAAGCATAGGATAGTCACGTAGTTAGTGTATAACAATTTGATCTCAAAAAGGACTAGGAACAAAATTTCATTTTGTGTGGCTCAAGAGATACATACATGTGATAAAACTGCCACTTCTGCATGTTCTTTGGGTATCATCACAGATCGCTGATTACAGTTGTTTTTACTATAAAGAGAGACTGTCTTACACTTTCCAATTCTGGTATTCTCTGCTTTTTCTTTCACACTCCATTAATACAGAATTTTAGAAGTTTAGAGTGGGAGGGAACCTTAGCTTCTAGCATGATCTTGTTCATTTTTTTAAAGATTTTATTTATTTTATTTTTAGAGAGAGTGAGCGGGACTGGGGAGAGGGGTGGGGGGTGGGGGAGAGAGGGGAAGGGAGAGAATCTCAAGCAGACTCTGAACTGAGTGTGGAGCCCTACATAGGGCTCGATCTCACAACCCTAACCTGATCTGAGCTGATACTTAACAGATTGAGCAACCTAGGAGCCCCTTGTTCATTTTTCATAAAAGGAAGTCATCCTACTGAAGTTAAATGGTTTGCTGAGAGGCCATCCACTGGCAGAATTAGGTCTTACTATTCTTTCTCAAATGATCTTTTAAAGGTTAAATAAGTAGGGATTTAGTTTTGAGAATGTCTTATTTCTCCCATTTCAGTTATACCGATTTCCTTTGTTATAGGCAAACAAAATAATAAGCCACGACCTTTCTCTTCTCTTTTACTTATACATTTGCTACCTCTAGGCAAGAACCTCATCAGATCCACAAGAAATAAAATCCTGAAGAATATGTACTATACTACAGAACCATTTTCTCTAAGAAAAATAAGATACTAAATATTTCTGAATATAGGCATCTCAAAAGAAAGTCTGTCTTTAATCAGATCAAATAAAGCAAACAGGTTTATACCATCATTTTGATAAAGACAAAAACCCACAAGAGGATTTTCCCCCCCAATCTTACAATTAGAGCAACTCTAACTTTTAACTACTATGAACATTTTTCTTAGGAATTACTTTCCCTTTTCTTTACCCCTATTATTTCCTGAAAATTTTGAATAGAATAACATAGAAACTAAGTATACAAGGGGGAAAATTGAGAGGATAAGCAACTCCTATTCAGTCTTAGAAATAAGTCAACAACAGAAAAGAAGAAACTTTATATTCCATTTAAATGAGTATTTTCTTTATATTCACATCACTAACTAACTTCACTGTAGCAGCACTAATTTCATTATGAGTCAAGTTTTTATTCACTGGGAGATGTCACTGGCCTCAATAAGAATAAGCGATTTCTCACAAAGGATTTTTGAAAGAAGATAGTTTGGAAAACATAATTTACCAGAAAGTACTAACATGGGCAACTCCTTGATTAAGGATGGGAAATTCCTAATTCTTTTTAGCCTAAATTTAAGCAAAACTCATTCCTGCAGGAGAATTTACCTTCCTTTTGACCCCTTTCTTTAAATAAGAAGCAAAACATATAAACCATTTTAAGCTTGAACAAGCAAATACCTGGAGATTTTAACCATTGTTATAGATTCTGCAAAGGATGATGAGTTATTGATCATTAAAAGAAACAAACTTTTATGCTTTAAATATATATGTTTAAGAGGATTCTGTCTTCTAACAACTCTCTCATTTTACAAACAGAAAATCATGCCACCCATTATGGAGATAATATTCTAAAGTTTAAACCAATGCTTGAATTTTTCAAACCTTTTAACATTTTCATAAAATTTACAGATACAAATCCATTAAAAAAAATCCCCCCCAATCCTCATATATTTTAAGGTATTTCTAACAGTACTGGATCTTTTACTCTGGTTGATTTGATTTATAACTAGATAGTATCCTTCAGGGTTCCAGTATGGAACTTTCAATTTGTCAGATAATTTTTTCTTGGTGGTTATTAGAAAGGTGACTTTAAAATACATGCTTGATGTGAATAAAAAGAGAATAATGATTTTTTTGGACGGGGGAGGTTTTGAAAAACTATTAAAGCATTATGCTCACTTCATTTTAAAAAACAACTTACTGTTTTATACTCTTCTAGCAGAGAATGGGGATGGTTTAGTTGTAGTTGAAACCTCATAGCCCCAAAGTTTTCATCTCTCTCCAAATCATCGTAGTACCCCTTCTGGTCCCAAGGACATCTGACAGACTCTGAGTCCTTCTGTGGGGGAATGAATGCTTTAAACAATCAGGACTAGTGTTACCCCTTTTGTGTAGTGATGGGTTTGACTATAAGTTGCTAAAGGCATTATTCATTAATAACCTTATCATCATAAAGATAAAGCTCATGTTAACAAATCAAAAGATTTCAACAGTCATAGCATAACCTTTCACTATAATTCTAGTACTCATTTGCTCTCATAATGGCAAAGTCTTTGGATAAAAGTAAGATAATAGTAGAATTAGTAAAAACTTGACTGAAAGTGATAATTTGTTAAAGCTTTTAAATATGGGTGTTTTTCATTGGAGAATATAGTTAAGCTAAAATAACACTTGGTAAAATAGCTTAGTATCTTGCCAGTCCTGAACCATATTACTTCAGGAAAAAGATCAATATTCTTTTGCGGGAAGGAAGATGGGAAGACAGGAAGGGCAAGGTGGTTAGGTTAGGAAGGGAAAATAAACATTTATACATTTTAAATTAATATATACATATATTTGCATTTTAAGTAAATATCAATGGGATTCATTTAAAATTTCCTTGAGGTTCCCGTGGTGTAATAATATAGTTCAAATTAAGTGCTATGTTAACTAGATCAAGTATGGTATCTGAATAAAAGGGAAAAAATTAATTTAAAATGACATCCAAAATTGATACTACTAGGTACAGGACAGTGTATATATTTTCATTTGTATGTGCAAAAAGAATATATTTATATACACATATGCTTGTATATTCAGAGTAACTCTAGAAGGATACACAAGAAATTGGTAACACTGGTTGTTACTTTTCACTAACTGTAGCATTTAAATTTTGTACCATATATATGTTTTCCCTATTCAAAAATATTGATTAAAAACCCACTACTAAAATAAATTTAATTTTAACAATCATGTCAAATTAAGAAAAAAAGACTAATTTTTTTACATTATACAAGAAAATATACTAACGCATATATTGTTTTTCCAAGATCCACCTACATAAATTTTGTTATATTTACTTTCTGACAGTAACTGTGATCCAAAAACTCAAATTTCACATGACCTTAACTTGGGAAAAACACATTTTCCCTGTACCTCATTGCTAGAGTACTGTGGAGTATGGGTTGTCTCACGAGCATGCTAACATCTTTACTCTCTTCCTCCAATGGGTTAGCCATTAGCCACCATTTCTCTATGAAATTCAAGAAATCTTTAAGGAAACTTCAGAAGGACTTTAAGAATCTTACTTGGCAGTGATAAATATTATACCTGTATTATTCTGTTGGCATAGAATCAATTTTAACTTCTCTCTGTGGTTTACTTTAGATTTTATCCTGCCAAAGATGTTTGGTGTTTTGGTAATGACAGACTTCTAACTATGTGGTGACTAAGCCAAGCCCTTACATAAAGCTTGGAATAGGATTTTATAAATAGTTCCAATGAAAGACATTTTGAAATAAGCAGGGGAAAAAAATCTCACACTTATAAAAATTATTTTCAGAACACCACTTAAAAGTTCAAATTAAGTCCTAATCTCTTAAATATTAAAATAAACCATAAAACAAAATCTAAAGGAGTGATAGTACATACATCAACTTTCAATGGTAGCTGCTTATTAAAAATGAGTGTCTGAGGGTGTATTCCAATTTCATCCTCTCCAAATTGTGCAGCTCAGATAAATGTTTATTTTACTGAAAATATTTGCAAAATTACAATATAAATACATGAATATATTAAGATAGAATGACTATATATAATGTATTCTTATCCATATATATAAAATGAATGCAGTAAATATAGCATATTCTCAATGAATTATTAGTACACAGTGTTTCTTAGTAAAGTACATACAACCTATTATTAAGCAACAATTATCTAGTTTTCAAATGTACATCTCAGGAAGTTTTTAGGATGAAAGGATACACTAAATCTCCCAATACCCTTTTTGGTTGGTGAAAGTTAGTTCTGCAAATTTTGAAATAATACTATGTTTATTTTAGCAGTGGTTCTTAGGTTCTTTGCATTTTCCTAATTTGAAACTTTATTTCTTTAGTCTGGGTGTTTTCTTAATGAGGCCCTATCAGCCAACCATACTTTTAATTCTAATACAGTATCATGTACTGTCTTTTCATTAGTCATTTTAACACACATCAACAATGAAACAGAATTATTAAAATTTTTTTATCTGCACAAATTCCCAAAATTAACTTTCAGGGTATTATGGGTATTACGGGGAGTCTCAACTACATAGAGTCTCAACTCTAATACTAATCTGGGCTAGAAATGGTTTTTTTTTTTTTATTGATTTTAGGTCTTAAGAATACAAATATGAACTCTACTTGAAAAGTGTTTGTTAAATATATTGGGATTTGTTTCAAAAGCATCTTCTACCCTCCTCCATTACACCGATTTAATGGAAACTTGTTTTTATAGCAGTTCCAACACAAACATCTGCATGCAAGAGATCACCCTACAGATTCTAACTACATAGTTATTGAAACACATCCCACCTGTCGAGTGGCATAAATGTACATCTTCTATATACAAAAGGTAAAGTGCATTATTAAATTAGTGAACTGACAGATTGTCTGCCTGGACCATATAGCTTTCTAATAGACAAATGTGAAATTCTCCCATTAGAACCAATTATTTCAAGAGGTTCCAACTAGCTTTTCCACCCTGTCATTTCTTTTTTGGCCATGCTCTTTAGTGCAAATAAGCTTGTGTTTGACTCAAGTTTAAGGGACATGGCAGTTTGGGGCTTTAACAAGGAAAATTATAAAATGTGGCAGAACTTTTAATACTTTTATAATACATTGCATCTTTTGCATATAAGCAACAGACTAGTGCTGCTTTCAATTGCTAGGAGCACACTGCCAACTATTAGGAGGAACCCGTTTCCAAATTTCATACTATTAGCTTATATTATTACAGTTTTGAGTCTATACCACATTATACTTGGGTCATTATGTGCAAACATCATCAGTGTTTTAGAATTATACAGTGAACTAGTAATTTTGGTTACTAACTTGAATGCTCATTTTTTTACTTCTAACATCCAGTTGCCTTAAGAGTTTTAATGTCTTCAAGGCTGGGATCCTATTATTTTGAAGAATACCATGTACACTTGCAGCTTCATTTATGTTACAAATGACAATAAATAAAATGTATATTGCACAGATAAAAATAGTAGCTTATTTTATAAGATACATGGCAATACATGTCCTAATACCAGAGTTTTGAACTGGATCTTATTTGATTATGGCTAATGAATAATTGGGAATTTTAAGTATCAAAAAATCATGACATCATTTCATTTTTCAATGAACACATATAAAAAAGTGAAACAAAAGGACTGGTAGAAGGCTTAGTGATTCTAATGTATATTCAATTGCCAGTATATATGCATCTACCAATCTATAGCTTTGAGATGGTAATAACTTTGAAGTATACATACAATGTAGATTTGGCTACTAACTAATTCTTGACTTAAATAATTAATGCAAAATTAATATTTATATACAATGAATTAAAGATATTTATCTTTAAGTCTGACAGTATTGTGTATATGTATATATACACACATGTATGTATATATATAGACATAAACACTCAAATCTTATCAGACTAAAAACCAAAAAAGATTTAATGGATATAAATATTTTAGGAGGGAAGGTTTTAAGAGAGAGTATATAGTCATAGCAACAGTGATAGGAACACTCGAATACTGGAACATTCATCGCTCCAGTTTGCCAAAATCTGACAGGTTGATAATTATTAATAGGCACTATGATGGGCAGCAATAACAATCAGTAGTACAGTAATTCAAGTGCACATCACTCCTTCATATACCAAAAACTACTTTTTATCAAGTCTACAATAGTTATTTTACAGTTAGGACTGTTTAAAGATCCTTGCTACTTTTAGAGTCTCAACACCCACCATGTGCTATTAACTCTAGTACTAACATTATCTTCTAACCTTCAGTTGTTCCATAGTAATCCAGATGGTCCACAATTATAATGAACTAATGAGATTCCTTCACACTACTTGAGGAAACATGAAATACAATCTGAAAACCAATACCAGCATATATGTCTGGGTTACTGATTGCTTGTTTTTAAATAAGATAAGCTGGTAATACTCTTTTCTTGACTCACAAAGTTCTCTTAGTGACCTTACTTAAATGGATTTGGGGACAAACTGCTGAAGGAAAAAATTATTAAAATAATTTTGAACTACTTATAACATATAAAAGGAGAGCTACATTCTGATCTCAATCCATGCAGCCAGCTCTCATCAACGAGAGCTATATTTGGGGGTTGAAATCAGTGTCTGGCTCTTAAACATGATTGTATGGACTTATTGTGTGGGAGGTGAATAAAGCCAAGATAAAAGACAATAATTTCAATCAGAATAAAATGCAGCTCAACAGATAAAATTCCAGTCAGTTAATACAGGGTGGGTTGGTACACATATACACTATATCCACTTGTTTAAAAATTGCTTAGGTGTTGAAAAATTGCTGTGGCACTTCCTGGAAAGTAATTTTTAATTACTTTAAATGGGTGAGTCTTGTGTAAAGTAAACCTTTTTAAGTATCATAAAGAGCACCTTGGAAAATGCCTGAATTTTCCTTTCAAATATGTTTATAACCAATCCTTAAATAATTTTCCCAGGCTGAAAATTTATATTCTAAGTGCTTTTTAGAAAAAGAGTTGATTTTTTTTTCCTGGAATTAAAATACCTGTAAAAGCCAGGTTTATATTGGAAGTGTTGACACTGTTTTAAGGGTAGCAAAAGTGCTACTAAAATGTATTATTACAGATGTATTTTTGTATCAGTTAACTGGTGCACCAACCCCTCTGAAATAGTGCTAAAGAAGAAGCATAAAATATAACACCTTGAGTCCATGATATATTTTGGGAAAAAAACTCTCACAACCTTCAAATTAGCACGAAAGGCTAAACCGCCAAGATTTCCATAGCAAAGCCATAGGATGAAGCCTCCCACTCAACAGCGATATAAAAGTAATTCCTCAAACTCTGGAATGTCAATAAAAATATAGGGTATAGTGAAGAGAGGTAAAGATGGGATTAGAATAACCAATTAAAACTCTCCCACGGCTTTGATATGGCAACTATAAACTGCAGGGTTACCACAAAATTTGAAATTATAGAATACTATCGGAGCTGTAAGATTTGATTCTTTCATGGTACTTTTTGATATTCAGTTATCCAATGAACTAATATATTTCTACATGTTCTTGTATAAAGAAATATATTAATACTATACTTGAGGTCAATTTCTGTTTCTGTGGTAACTGCCCTACAGGTAAGCTTAGCAGCTTTTAACGAAGTAGGGATGGAATACTTTCTCTGGGAACTGGTTAAATAGAAATTGACACTTCCATATTAAGTATACGTATATGTTCTCAGGATCATGTCATAGTGCAATGTAAATCTTAGTTATGGTATTTAGAAGGTCAGAATGTCATATTTTGTGCTGATTTGCATACTTCAATAGTCTGGAGCAGTTGAAGCAACTACACTATTTAGCTCTGGGAAGGCTGGAATTCCCATAAGAATTATAATGTTCTATGTATAACATGAGAATCAGACTCCTTGAAGTATAAACTATCGGAGGTATTACTAATAACAAAGGGCCAAAAAAAGAGGAAAAACTTCTTCAAATGATTATGGATCAGTACTTTTAGCCAATTTATGATTTTAAATTTTGCCTGATGGAGTTCAATTTCACTCTAGTCGAGGCATTCTTGTTCTTCACCACTGGCCCTTCTGCCATCCATTCTCTTTTCTTTATGGCTGTTGCAAATTTTCCTCATCTCTTCTTCATACTTGATAAAATTCTCCCCAAACCTTGTCCAAGCTTTGAATGGAACAGTAATAGTATTACGGTAAGGTGGCCTCACCTCACTTACCTTCAGGAAAATTCCATATTTATTAGAGCCCACATCAAAGTAGAACCTTTTATTGTCCACTCTGAAAGAAGTCCCCTCTGGGAGTTCAAGTGGGTCATCATCTTCACCTCTTCGTTCTTCTATGTCCCCTTCGCCATAGTCTTCAATGAGCTGAACCAAGGCATCACGAAACTCAATCATTCCTTGTGCGGGGAGCACAATAGTCTGTTCTTGGCCCAAACTGTGACCAAAATAACCTATCATGCCCGTCCCTCGCATCATGGTTTGTCTAATTCTTAGGAAGCGACCCCGTTGATTTTCCTTTAGGTCTAGATAATATTTCCTATTGTCCCTCTCTATGTAGTCTGTTTTGAGGACACTATGAGGGTGCTCTTCGGACCCTACAGAGACAGGTGGGGAGGGTGCCGAGTGCTTCTGTCTCCTCCTGGAGGCTTGATCTTTGCCGTGGCCATGCTCTTGCCGGTGGCCTTTCAGGCCCAGGTGGGCGTAATGCTCGATGAAGTCCCCTAGACAGTCCTTCAGCTCCGCTGCCACAGACAGGGACAGTGTCAGTTTACTCTTTCTGATATTGTCCTGCCGGCCTCTCCCTATCCAGACTTCGGCTATCTTTAGGAACCGGCCCCGGGAGCTTTGCTTTACGTCTAGGTAAAACCTCTTTTTCTGGATGTCCACTCGTTTGGAGGCCAGCTCCTGGATTTCGGCTGCGCCCCCAGCCTGATTAGGGGTGGCTGAAGCCGCGTAGTGGGGGTAGTGGGAGTGCTGGGCCTGGGGATAGAGTCTACTCTTGCTTAGGCCAGAGCCCCCTACATTCTTGCCTCCGCGGCCGCGGCCGCCGCCGCCTCCCCTTCGCCTGGCTCTTTCCATCTTCAGCTGCAAGTGACAAACAGACACACGGGGTGGGGTGGGGGAGGGGTGTTGAGAACAATCGCAGACGCCCCTCGGCCTGCGCTGCCCCCGCCTCCGCCCGGGACCCCCACTCCGGGCCGCGGTGCACGGAGCCCGCCGCCGCAGAGCCCGGCTCTCGCCTCTGCCCGACCGTCGGCGGCGACAGGCGGCGTCTCCCGGCTCTGCACCGCGCACATAGCATCCCTCCGCCGCCCGGGCCTCCCGCTCGCTGCCGGGCCGCCAGCCTCGGGCTCCGCAGCCCCGGGGTCCCCAGCCAGCAAACACTCACATCGACACTGCCATCACCGCCGCTACCGATGCCCTTCACGACCGCCGCCGCCGCCAGCTCTCGGCCCCTCTGCTGCAGCCGCCGCAGCTGCTGCCCCCCGCCAGCTCCCCCGCCGCCGCTCGCACCGTCCCCCGCCGGAGCAGCCGGGCAGGGGCATCGCCTGCGGCGCCCGCCGCCGCCGCCCCTCCTGCGGCCGCTGCGGGGGCCGCCGCCTCTCTTCGGGCACCGGCCCGATACCCGCCGGGAGGGGAGAAGGGGGTGGCGGCAGGGGGCGGGCCGTGGACCCCGCCTCCTCCAGTACAGCCCGCTGAAGGGAAGAGAAGGTCTCGCGCTCTTCCTGGGGGCGCGCCGAGACCGAAGCCCAGAGCGCGGGGACGGAGCGTGAGTGCGAGATGACTGGACAGGTGCGAAGACGGGAATGAGGACGGGGGTGGCGAGAGTGTTCAGACTTCTCCAGGTTCCGCCGGGATGCAGGACTCTGGCGGCCCACCGGCGCCGGCATAGAGACTACACCTCCCGGAGTACTCAGCGGCAGCGAGAGTCCTTGCGCATGCGCGCCGCGTAGCCAGCTGGGCTTGGTGGCAGGGCTGCAGCGCCCCTCGAGCGGAGGACGGGGACGGGGGCGGGGCATCCGCCTTCCGGAGCCGATGTGTGCTGGGGGCGTCGTGACGCTGCGGCGTGCGCTCCGCAGCGCGGGAATAAAGTCTGTCGAATTGCTTTTTAGCCTGGATACCTGGGTTCCAGGCCCTGCTGTTGTGGCGCTTCACAAGTCACCCAGCTGAAGGAGGAGGCCGGTTGAACTGACTCTTCTCAGGGTAACGTGTCCACTCCACCCCTGTTTCAGCTAGCTCCAGACCCTGGGGAATCATTCGAGACTTCTCCGACTTTGGAGGTGCTCAGTCCGGCAAAACAGGCCTCTGGGCAGTGTGTGGGAGGTGCGTTAGAAACGGGTGTCCTCTGCCCCTTCCCACCTCCGGAGCATACAGGAAAGGGACCTGCCGCTGGCCTGGCCAGAGCTTCCCTCCCTCAGCTTGTGCCACCGGTTGCCTGTCGTGGGTCCTTAGGACTGGGCCCTTCGGGTCCAGCCTTTACTGCTGCAGAAAGGGAGCCACTCCATATTTACACAGCGAAGTCCGGGGAAATAACCTGTTATGTGTAATTTAGCAGATGAAGTTGGATTTCTTGAGTTTATTTATTTATTTTTATTTTTATTTCTTGAGTTTACATCCTTTAAATCCATAATTTTCTTTTTTTCATGGCTGAATCTGAGTTGTTTTCTGTATAGATTTGAGTATGTGAAAATACCAGTCCCTATGGTATGAAATCCTTAGGATGCTTATTTAGCAGTCTGTAAGTCATGGTACTTAAGGTTTTGTATAATTTGGTATGTTAATTTTAGGGATATTGGGATGGATAGGGCAGTTTAGATTTTGATGTCATCGAATAGTGGTCTCCTTTTATTAATTCAACAAATATTTATTGAGCACTCCCCTAAGCTCTGGGGATACCAACAATGAACAAAAGGGGCACAAGTCTTTCTGCTTTTGGACCTTTCATTTTGGAGAGAGATAGACAGTAAGTCAAATGCCCCCAGTATGTCAGAAGGTGAAAATCCTTTGGAGAATAATAAAGAAAGAGGGATGATGACTGTGGGTGTGAGTAGGGAGCTGCAATTTTACAATAGCTTGTCAGGGAAGGCCTCACTGAGAAGGTAATTTTTGAGTAAAGAGTTAAAGGAAATGGGCGAGCTAGTTCTGTGGCCATCTGGGGGAAAGAAGGTGCAAAGGCCCTGCGGAAGCCTGTTGGTGTGTTCAAAGAGCTGCTGAGGAGGCCAGTAAGTTAGAGCAGAATGAAATAGTAACAGAAGAATTGTAGGAGATAAAATCGGACATGAAAGAGCAGGGGGCAGATGGTGTAGAACCTGGTAGGTTATTTTGAAAATTTGGGTTTTCATTCTGAGGGAGATGGGAAGCTCTTGGAGAGTTTTGTCAGGGAAACACCATCATCTGAATGATCTTTTTAAACAAAATAGTGGTAATATATATATAACAAAATGTGCCTATGTAACAATTTTTAAGTGTACAGTTCGGTAACATTAATTACACTCCCTATGTTGCACAGCCATCACCACTATTTTTTTGTTTTGAGATTTTATTTATTTATTTGACAGAGCAAGAGAGCACAGGCAGGGGTAGGGGCAGAGGGTGAGGGAGAAGCAGGCTCCCTGCTGAGCAGGGAGCCCAATTTGGGTTGATCCCAGCTGGGATCATGACCTGAGCCAAAGGCAGATGCTTAACCCACTGAGCCACCCAGGTAGGTGCCCCCATCACCACTATTTTAAAAAGTTTTTCACCCCAAACAAATTTTAACTAACTGGTTAATTAAGCAGTAATTCCCTATTGCCCCCTCTGCCTAGCTCCTGGTAATCTCTAATATAATCTCTCTTTATGAATTTGCTCGTTCTGGAATCACAATATCTGGGCTCTTAAAATTTTTTTATTTTTATCTTTATTTTTTTAATATTTGTGCTTTTTTTTAAAGATTTTATTTATTTATTTGTGAGAGAGAGCATGAGGAGGGGGAGGGTCAGAGGGAGAAGCAGACTCCCCGCTGAGCACCGAGCTCCAATGCAGGACTTGATCCCCGACTCTGGGATCATGACCTGAGCTGAAGGCAGTCGCTTAACCAACTGAGCCACCCAGGCACCCTAATGTTTGTGCTTTTGCATCTGGCTTATTTCACTCAGCATAATGCTTTCAGGGTTCATCCATGTTGTACCATGTATCAACTTAATTCCTTTTTATGGCTGAATAATATCCCATTGTGTGATTATACTGTGTTTTATCTAATCATTTGTTGATGGACACGGGTTTTTTTCTACTTTTGGCTATTGTGAATTTTGCTGCTTTGGACATTACAAATATCTGCTTGAGTTCCTGTTTCCAATTCTTTTGGGTATATATCTAGGAGTGGACTTGCTGAATCATATGATAATTCTGTTTAGTTTGTTGAGGAGCTGCCAAACCACATTGGTGGCCCTGTTTTACATTCAGCCAGTGATGTTGCAAGGATTCCAATTTCTCCATATCTTCTCCAAATAATTTTCTTCTTCTTTCTTTTTCCTTTCTTTCTTCTTTCTTTTCTTTTCTTTTCCTCTCTTTTCTTTTCTTTTTTCTTTTCTTTCTTGTATTTGACAGAGAGCAAGAGAGCACGAATTGGGGGGTGGGGCAGAGGGAGAGGATGCAGGGAGCCTGATGTGGGGCTTGATCCAGGACCCTGAGATCATGACCTGGGCTGAAGGCAGATGCTTAACTGACTGAGCCACCCAGGCACCCCTTCATTAATTGGTATCTTAAAAATTTTTTTTCAGCAAGTTTTTGGTAGTGTATAAGTTTTTCACCTCTTTGGATAAGTTACTCTTCGGTATTTTATTCTTTTAGATGCTATTATAAATGAAATTACTTTCATGATTTCCTTTCAGATTGTTCATTGCTGGTGTATAAAACACAGCTGACTTTTTGTGTGTTGATCTTGTACCCTGCAACTTTGCTAAATTTTCTTATTAGATCTAGTAAGTTTCTTGTGGATTCTTTGGGATTTTTATATGTAGGATCATGTCATCTGTGAATAGAGAGAGTTTTACTTCATTTCCAATTTGAATGCTTTTTATTTATTTATTTTTCATGTCTAATTTTTCTGGCCAGAATTTCCAATACAGTGTTGAATAGCAGTGGTGAAAGTGAGTATCCCTGTCTTGCTTTTTAAAAATAATTTTTATTGTTTAAAATATTTATTTATTTATTTGAGAGAGAGAGAGACAGAGCGAGAGAGACAGAGCGAGCACACAGAGGGAGAGGGAGAAGCAGACTACCCACTGAGCAGGGAGCCCAATGCAGGGCTTGATCCCAAGACTGTGGGATCATGACCTAAGCTGAAGGCAGATGCTTAACCCACTGAGTTACCCAGCCTCCCCCAAAATAATTCTTTTTTTAAATCGAAGGATAGTTGATATATAATATTAAATTAGTTTCAGTCGTATAGCATAGTGATTCAACAATCATATGCATTACAATATGCTCACTATTCTTGTCTTGTTCTTGATCTTAGGGTGAAAACATCAGTCTTTCACCATTGAATGTATTAGCTGTGGAGTTTTTTATAAATGCCCTTTATCGGTTTGAGGAAGTTCCTTCCACTCTAGTTTTCTGAGTCTTTTTTTATCATGAAAGAGTGTTGGATTTTTCAGATGCCTTTTTTGTGTCAATTGAGATGATTATGTGGTATTTTTCTTTCATTCTATTAAAGTGATACATTACATTGATTGATTTTCTTATTTTGAACCACTCTTGCGTTCCTGGGATAAATCTCACTTGGTTATGGTGTATAATTCTTTATTTTTTTTTTTAAAGATTTTATTTATTCATTTGAGAGAGAGAATGAGAGACAGAGAGAGCATGAGAGGGGGTTGGGTCAGAGGGAGAAGCAGACTTCCTGCTGAGCAGGGAGCCCGATGTGGGACTCGATCCCGGGACTCCAGGATCATGACCTGAGCCGAAGGCAGTTGCTTAACCAACTGAGCCACCCAGGTGCCCGGTGTATAATCCTTTAAATTGAATTATGTTTTAACAGAATCATTTTGGCTGCTATTTTGGGAATAGACTCTAGAGGCAAGGAGATAAGAAGTAATGTGGCTTGAACCAAGATTTTAGCTGCGAAGGTGGTGATAGAAGGTAGGATTTCAGCTTTATTTTGAAGGTAAAATTTTTGCTGATAGATTGGATGTAAAATGTGAATGAAAGAGGAGAGTCAAGGATGACTAAGGTTTTTGGCCTGAGTAATCAGAATGAAGATGCACTTACTGACAACTCTAATTTATAGAAGGAGCAGTTTGGGGAAATTTTTATACATATTGACTATGATATGCCCATTAGAAATCAAGTATGTACTAAGTAATTGGATATACAAGTTTGAAGTTCAGTGGAGTGGTCTAGGCTGTTTATATAAGTTTGGAAGTCATCAGTGGGCTATAGATTATTTTAAAGCCATCAGGCTGTGATTTTCATGGAAGTGAAT